CTAAGGACTTAGAAATAGAGTAGAATAGAAATGACCCTTTATTGTCCCACAATGGGGAAATTGTGGCGTTACAGCAGCATCTAGACCCCTAATGGCATTCAGAGTGCCATCTTTTATCCTGTATAAGTCTGTGCTGATGGCCCAATCCAGGTCACCCTGTGGAGTCCTGGAAGAATCATCCTGTTCTACCTTACCCAAAGGAACAGATACCACTCTTAAAAATGGGATGGGGACTTCTGTAATTTTTCTGTTCTGTCCTAAAGAAGCTGCAAGTCTCCCAGATCTCCTCCATCCTCTCTGACAAATAAGGAGTTGTACCCCCTGTGCAACCTCTAAATCTTTAAAATGCTTCCTGTTTTTGGTGTCATCTCATTCCTGATCATTTATTTTGCCAACCATTTCTACTAGAGAAGATCAAATTATTACTCCAGAAGTTTAACCAACTTCATTAAACACTTTGCTTAAAAATAGCCCCATCTAACTTTTTAGGAGTTTTGATCAACAGCGATAATTTCCCTGAAGGTAAAACCAGGAGAAAATCTCAATCACTGCGTTGGCCCCTCCTGGGCGCCTTTGCTCTGGGGATATCTTTGGACATCTGGGGCTTTGGGTCCCCTAGCGCTCGCCTCGGTGCTCTGGGGGGTGGGTCTTTAGCTCTCCAAAACCACTATTGAGCATTTTTCCCCTTGGATAAACTTTACATGCACAAGTGCAGTCTCACAAACAACTACAGGTGCTTGGTTCCAGGTACTTGGAGTTTCACTTCCATACAGAAAGCCCATATTCTTATCTTCAGCTACCACAGTATACATGTCAGATTAAATAATAATACTTATACTTCAGCGATAGTATCAAGGTGTTACTTTATTGTATCTCTTATATCTGTTGATTGTACTGTTCTTTTTACATCTCTTTGCAGGTGATGAAGCAGACTAAAAAGGTTTTATCATTATCTCCCTTTCATCTTTTCTCATTTTTTTCCTGTTTTTCCTTTCCTTTTCTACTTACATTGCAGTGTCCATATAATCTGTAATACTCCCTGCATAATTATAATAAAGCTATTTATATGCATAAATTACCATACTGCTACACTTGTGAAAGTAAAATCTGTTGTTCTCTTTTTGACATCAAGACAATTATTCTTATTGCCACATTGCCAGACAGGACACTGATATAAAAAAAAAAAAAAAAAAAAAAAAAAACATAAAGAAAATCTCAATCACAGTAAAAAAAAAAAAAAGCAGTACTATAAATCAAAAGAGAAAAGAGAATATTTTGGGATAAATCTATGAGAGCCCTTTCCTGATTCAATATAACCAACAAAGTCTCCTGTAGTTATGACCACTGTTTTGCCAAACAAAGTCATAAGCAGGAATTCATCTGAAGCCAAACACCAGCAGCGTTTCTTTATTTACAGACAACACAGCAGCAATCCTACCTCACATTTCAGTCATCACCCAAGTGCCCAATGAACCCAAAAGTGTCACAGAACAAACTGCCACAACTTTCACATCATCATTAAAAAACAGAAGCGGTATTTTATGTGGATGTCAGGTTGTCGTTACTGTAACAGTCCAGCTATTTTGTGTAAAACTGTGCAAGAAGTTACATAAGATTAGATTAAAAAAAAAATACAAAGGGCCACAGCTGATATCTGCATGCTGTAAGGCACATGCCCCAGAATCCACAGCACAGAGTCATGCAGTGCACTAAAATCTCTGCCAAACAATAGCTCCAGTCCGAGGAGGCTTTACTTATATTAAACAGAGCCTGCTCTCACAGGCCGCTTCTGCCGGGAATTAGATAATCCGCTTTATGGTGATAAATAAAAGCTCTCAGTCCATGAGGGGCAGACAACAAATAGAAGTTAGGCCCAGCCTCAACCCAGATAACAAAACCAAATCAAATTATTGTAGCAGAATGGAGCACAGACTCTGTGGTGCCAGTCAAATTATAAAAAAATATATTGTTTTCAAGTTCTAGTGACCTGTGGTGAATGTAAAGACAAACCCTAAAGAGAGAAATGTCTTAGCAGCTCAGTGAGGAGGAGCTGAGAAAGAGGCAGAGAACTCTGGCTCCCTCTCCTGGCGATCAGAGATATAATCAATTACAAACTAAACAAGCGTTGCCATCATAGATGTGAACAAAAAGCTTAACTTGTTAAATAGTGAAAGGCATCTTCATTTCGAGTTTGAGTGGTTTTGGCATGCCCCCTGCGTATGGATTCAACAGATACAACTATGAGTGGACCAAACTGCCTGAAAAGTGGTTAACAGAACAGCATCAAATGCTTAAATGTTAAAACAGATTCTGCAGCTCACTAGTAACATTGAAATGTGCACACTAGTTGATCCCAAATGCACACTTGGTGATTTTCTCAGGCCACTTTGTCTGACTGTTAAATGCGTCAGCTTTAATGTCATCATTTGTGCCTGCCCACAAGGGTGCACTAATCTCTGTGGATGTCTGCATGCATGCAGCCCAGATTTCTAAAGAGGGGTTTAACTGGATCCACCGCATCGGTCCTAACAGCTGTTATGACCCCCTTACTGAAATATAATACTATATCACTTATCTTCAGAAAGACTTAGAGTTGTCACCTTCTAGATGAGCTCTAGAGCAGTGTTTCCCAAACTTTTTTGACATGTGTAACCCTATGTTCCAAAAGTGGAACGTACAATAACTGATTATAAAAGAAAAACTGTTTTACTCAATCTTTTAATTGGATGTTATGCTTTCTATCTAAAAAAAACAAAACAAAACAACAAAAAACACGAATATGTTGTCTGGAAGTTAGTAAGGAAGGAATTGAAATAAATACAAAATAAAATCATATTATAAACCTGTATTCATGAACTGGAGCTCCTCTAAGTAACTCCTTTATAATCACATTTAACCTTGATGAATTGGGAACAAAATAAAGAACAAAAATTTTAGTCACACTGACTTAATTAGTTTTTATTTGTTTTCATCAAGACACGTGAGCTGCTTTGATGAGCTCTGACAGCTGAGTGTGAAAATCAGCTGATCCCAGGCTGTTCTCTACATCCAGTCTGTTCCTCCGCTTGGTTTGGATGTGTGTCACAGCTTAAGGTGAACTCAAATAAAAACGTACTTTTTGGTTGATATAGCTTGTTTAATTTTTCACTGCATCCTCATTAAGCAAAACAGAGCCCAGCCATATTTTATTTCACTACATAAGAAATAAAATATTTTCATGTACCCCTTGCAATTCACTCGCAAACCACTAGGGGTATGCGTACCCCTGGTTGGGAAACACTGCACTATAGCAGAGGTCATGGATTAGCGGACCAGGATCTGGAGCCACCAGCTGGCTAATCCGGACCCAACCTGATTTAAAAAAAAATTTAATTACTGCATGTTGTCCGACGACAGTTTCTAACTTCACTTGCGCCACTCCTCCTGTTAATACGGTAAAGCCCTCCGGAGTGTTCGGCACCAGGCTACATGTGATATAAATTAGCCAATGAGCTGCTGTCAGTCTGGGTTGCTGCTGCTGCTACTTTTAGACACAGCAGGCAAACCTGTGGCAAGCCGGGCGATGGGAAAGAAGGAGAAGAAGATGAGAAAAAGAGAAGAGAAAGTGTGGACTGCTGAAAGAACTGCAGTGAACTTGTGTTAGAAAAGTGAAATGGTGTGCTCAAAGATGACCTTGCACATTTAGAGTATGTTTGGTTCAACCTGCTGCTGTGAAGCAGGATTCTCCACCATGAACAGATTAAAAAATAAGTATGGATCCAGGCTCTAAATGAGCACCTTGATATGTGCTTGAGAATGGCTTTGTCTCCATTCAAACCCTTTAAAGCCTTGCAGGGCAGCCTAAAGCTCACTGCTCTGATTAAGGCAGAAAAATGAAAAAACAAAACAAACGGTCAGTTCACGTGTTTTATTAAATATGTGAATTAGGAAATTGTCTATATACCAAACTGAACGATTGTTGTTATCTACTAAAAAAAAACACTTTAGATTAAAAAAAGGAAAAAAAGTTACATTTGTTATAGTTTTTATTTAAAAATTCAGCATAACAGATTATAATTAAAAATGTCTCCGGACCTTTACTGATTTTTAATTGGTTACCCCTGCTCTAGAGCAACAAATCAACAACTGGCTCTTTGGTTAATTTAACATAATAAAGAGTAACTTATTGCTTTGGGTTTTATTATGTCATTATTTTGCTCTGTGCTCCCATGAAAAAAATGGCCCCACCCCCACTAGTAAACATGGTTTAGAACCAGAACTGTTTTTATGGACAGATTCCTTTTCTTTTACAGGATAGTTGACAACCCTAATTATCAGCTCAACTCAGAGGTTAGCGGCAAACCTATAGTATTATTGAACAAATGTAATAAATCCAAAAACATGTTTTAAAATAGTCTCTAATCAAAATAAAACTTCCTAGAAAGTAATTTCACTGTTTTCAGGTCTGCATAGCGCATAACTTGCCGTTATTTTACGTCTTACCAATTAAATGCAGTTGTAAATATAGGATGGAATTAATTCATTTAAGAAAATAAAACACGATTTATCTTTTTTTAACTACTGTGTTAAAAAAATAAGTTTATAAGTTGAAGACATGGTGTCATTAGCAGCTAGAAAGCTAGAGTGGAAGTCGAAAAAAGAGCAAAAGGCCTTTAAGCAAAAAGATTTCAGCAGTAACTCTGCTAAAAAATAATTATAAATGACACCAGTCCAAGCACATATCCTAAAGGTAAAGATTGAGATTCTTTGAAGTGAAAAAACAACAACAAAAAAATAAAAAGTATTTGCGAATTTAATTGAATTAGCTTTAGCTTCACTTATCTAAGCCTAGCTGTGCATTTTCCTTCAGAAATAGTTTTAAAATCTGATACAACAATAAAATTCTTGATATTAGCATTTTGTCATTAGAACATATTTTATAAACTCTGCAGAATATCATGTATTTTTTATATTCATGTGTCTCAATGAGGTTATTGTTATTTCCAGAGATATTTGTTCACCTGATATGCAGCCAGGAAAGCATAGGTGTGGTTCCCCCTCCGAATACCCAGACTGTGAAGAAGACAATAAGTAGCGTTGTGGTAAACATCATCTGCCGAGCGTAGGTGGCCGTGTCCCGGATAGCCAAGGCGAACGCCATAGCCCCACGTAAACCTAAAAACGTCGGCATCCCAAACTGTTAGGCACTACATTTATTGAGATTAATGATGTAAGTTAGACCTTGTGTTTTTATTTGGTACCTGCAAACATCATCATGTGCTGGAAGTTTCCTCTGATCTTGTCCCTTCTACCAAGGTTGAGGAGGAAGGACAGCGGGTAAATGTTGAGCGCTCTGCCAAGAAAAATGGCCATCTGACACAAGTTGGTCAAGAAGTCCAATCCAATTAAGCCGTAGGGAATTTCCAAAAGTTATATTAAATTTTTAAGTTTTTCCCTTTTGTTTGCTTGTTTTCAGGGAATTGAAAAGGATACAAAAGCTCCAGTGATAAAGATGGGACTGAAAACATGCTTCTGGAAGGTGAACAGTGCCAAACCCATGTAGGAGAAAATGAAATTCTCAGCCAGGAAGTGAAGGACCTCAAAAAGCTGCAAATTAAAACACAATTTTTTGTTTCTCAGTTTGGAAAACATAAACATTTGATTTCTAAGTAGATTCACACAGCTTAAAGATAAAATGAAAAAACAACCAAAAAAAAAAACTTTTCTTTTTTCTGTATGCAAAGTGTGACTTTCTCAGAAACACAAACAAAGCTAGCCTGTATGCTGATCCAAAAGTGTCACACTGCATGCTGTTTACATGCTAATCTGCACAGCCTGTCCTGAAGTCTGAGTCCCCTCTGGGAAACCAAGCAGTCATGTCAGGACGGATGTCCTCAAACAGCCCCGATTAAGGTCACAGCGGGCTGATCATGGTGCCATCTGGTAATACAACCCTGTTCAGACTGCAGGGAGTGCAGGGGGTTCAAAACAGAGGGGGCTGCATGGGATGGGGCAGATGCTACCTGCTTGGTGCGCTTCGTGGATTCTTCAGAAAGGTTGTTGTACGTGTAGTGAGCCTGCGTGATGCCACAGAAAAGCACAGCCACAACACCTGTCAGGTAACAAGAAACGTGTCAGAATGATCTATAACATGCTGCATTAAACAGGCAAGCTGCAGGATTTTAAACACAATAGAAGAGTTCATGACAAATAAATACACAAGTTCCCTTCTTAGCAGGAACGGTTGTCTCTACAACATTATCAGATTAATTACATAATAATATCTGACAAATTTGTAATTTTAAGGCAGTGTCACATTTTGATTTTAGTGCCTAAATACCACATTATACAATGAATAACAAGTCAGGTCACCATGAATTGTATATTTATTAAAAGAAAAAACTTAAACCAATATAAAGTGATAAAGTTGCTTTTCAGGTTTGGATGGTTTTATGCTCAACTGGTCTCAGCTAAGGATCAAGAAGTTAAAATCTATGTTTTTTCCCCCCCACATAATCACTAAACACATCATCCTAAGCCAAAGAGGTTGCAAAAAGAAAACCCAAAAACAAGACAAAACAAAAAGAAAACAAATTGTTTAAAAAGGAAATTATTTCCAAAATCATGACAAATTTTAAACTGTTGTTTTTGTTTATAAAATGTTAGAAATAAAGTTAGAAAAAGCAGAAGATGATTGAGTACAGAGGACTAAATGGGGCTAGACACACGTATTGTGCTAAAGGCTAATTAGAACAGCTACAAACTGTTTATAAAAGCACTACTGCAGTAAGAATAGAGTCTCAGTTTTGAAATATTTTGGAAAAGATTTCAGGAGTGGAGATCCCATCTGCTAGTTATATAAATAACTAATGTTTAATCTCAGAGAGCCTATCTTGTAAAAGAGTAAAGGAGAAAAGTTTTAAATTGTTAGAATTCTGTTACTAGAAAGCAAAAACAGCAGTTAGGAAAAACTGTCAGTGATTAATAAAATCAAAGTTAAGGGAAGTAAGCTAAATCCAAATCAGCTGAAAAGGCCAACTCTACTTCCTAAATTAGGATTTTTCCTTTTTTCGGATCTCTGGATTAAATATCCATTTGAGACTTTCCAAATTCTTTATATGGATTTAAATGAAATTAAATGAAGACATCTCACCAGTGAATCCACAGGCCTCAGCGAGCAGAAAGGTGCTCCAAGACATGAGGAAGAAGAGGGCCGTCTCCAGCAAAGGAAAACAGTGCAACTTTGTGAACTTGGTGACGTGGATTCCAGTTAAAGACCATCAATTCTTTTTATTTTCATAAAAAAAATAATAAAAAAAAACATATAGAAATAACACGACTTAGGCTTTTAAAAATGGGTCAATCTATCCTGTACTACACACATGGAAGGATATGAGAGCCGTGACGACGCCTGTGGCAGCACCCATCACAAAGGAGCCGCTGAAAATCCCGAGGAAAATTCCCACAGATTTAAAGAAGGCAGAGGCATCAAACATGTGTGTGTTTGCGCCTGCAGGTTGGTACGCCATGATGGAGCTGAGGTGCAGAAACACACATAGAATATGCACTTTGAGTCAGTCTGCATTTTAAAAACATAGCTATTTAAACGATCAACATTCACTTCTGTTTATCAGAGCTTACACAAAATTATACCATAATATTTAAAAAAAATAGATTAGTTAAAAGTGGAATGTGTGATAATCACCACTTTGGAAATTACCCATATTAACCACTAGAGGGAGGTAGAGTGCTGCATGTCAAAGGGAGATTAGTAATGAAAAGTGGTAATATTCATCAGTATTTAATCCATCAATGACTTACATACATACTGGTAGAAAGCTGTATTCTCTTAGCACCAACATGGATCAGTAAAATGGTTGAAAGAGACAAAATACCTGAATTCTTTAAATTAAAGGTCAGTAGTATAAATAACATCTAAGGCAAACATAATAAATATATTAAAGAGAAACATCTAGGTTAAAAAAGAAGTGACACTCTTTCTGCAAGGTGGTTTAATTTAGAAAGTCATCGGAGACAAAATCTATAAACTTAACTTAACTATAACTATAAATTTAACTGGAGTAGAATTCTTCGGCACATGGAACCGCAGAGCGTAGAATGATTTTTCCTTTAAAACAATATTTCAGAAAATAAAGCATTGCATAAAGGGAAGGTTTTTTATTTTTTCAAGTGGGCTTCTAAGAGGCCTTTGCTGATTTATTTATTTTTTTCCCGTAAAACAGATGCCAGGTTGCAGTGAGTTTGCAGGAAAGTAAAAAAAAAGATCAATGATGAAGGGAGTCCAAAAAGCAAAGCTCTAAATTACAGTCCTGAAAGTCAAGCAACACCAAAGAGCCTCCCCTTTAGGTCATTTGGGTTATGAGCAGTGGAAAGCCAACAGATAATCTAAAAAAAAAAAAAAAAAAAAAACTCCCATTTTTGCATTTTTCTATGTATATTGATCACTTTTTTTTTTTTTTTTCTGCCTAAAGGAAAGGGAACTATTACCAATTATATTCTTACACATCCTTAATATTTAAAAAAATGAGCTATATCTTTAAATCCTAGTATCTACTGAATAAAGTAATAAAAAACATGACTTACGAGGACAGCACAATGGCCACAGCATCATTCATGACACTTTCTCCAAAGAGCAGAGCGTAGAGATCCCCATCAGCATGGAGCTCGTTAAAGATGGCCAAAACAGTCACTACAGGCAGAGAGAAGGATTAAATAATTTGCCACAAATTAAGATGGTTGAAGGTTTGTGTGAATATCTTATTATATCTAAGTTTTACCTGGGTCAGTGGCTGAGATGATGGCCCCAAAGAAAAGGCAGTCAGTATAGTAGAACTTATCCGTCAGCTGTCCAACCGCCCTCATAAGCTTCACCACGCCATACATCAGATTCCTAGGGTTGGACAAGCAGCGGAGAGGCATTCATGTCATCACAGCTCACACATTTGGAAATAAAATACAGAATACAGGTTCAATGGACAGAAATCAGAGCCTCACCCAATAAAGAAGCATGAAATTGCTGTGCCGAGAAAGGCGTAGGTAATGATGGAGCCCAGATTCCTGAAGAAGTGTCTCTGAAAAATGAAATATATTTATTGGCTTATGAGCAAAGCTGAGATGAGAATAAAGAAATATTAATTCCTGAAAGCACCAGTGATCAGGCTAATGATGAGCCTGACCTGAAGCTTGAAACCTTCAGGTCAGCGGCTGCCACGGCTCATTACACAAACACACATCCAGCTGTTTGACTGCTTTAAAAACAAACAGGCAGCTGAGCACAGACCATTTCCGCATCAAGCCTATCTGACTGCCGGAGCAAAGTAACACAAAAGCAGCTGATTCAGTTCATTTACAGGAAATTCATGTCTTCGCCTGTTATGGTTGAACTGATCAAATTCAGTTGTTGACATTCTGAAGACAAGCGACAGCTTAGCTTAGCGACATCGGGCTATTTGTACAAACTATAGGGCCCTAATGGGCTTAGGTGGCTAAAACGCTGCTTTAACAGAAAAAAACCCAAAAAAACCTATAGTTATTACTGATAGAAAAGGACCTCTCCAAGCTGCAGTGACCCCTTATCCTTATTTTCCTGAGGACTGTTTTTGACTCAGCAAATTCCAAACTGAAACACAGTTGCAAAAATAAGAAAAAGAAAAACTCACGAGGGAACATTCACTGTTTACATGGCCTACACTGGGAAAACAATATAAAATTAATCAAAAATATTTTAAATTAAGTGTATTTACCCTTATATTGAATAGGTAAATGAGATAGTTTGCAAATGAAATTAGTATTTTTACTCTTAAAGTAAGATAATTAGATAAATGCACCTGAAATAAGACAGTAAAACAGTTTTTTCTAATTTTAAATGTAAATTGTCTTGTTCCATTGGAAAAATGTCTCTTTTACCTCCTTAATCCAAGAACAAATGCACTTATTTTAAGAAAAAAATCTTATCAAGATTTACATTTTTTCAGTGTATAAAGCTCGATGAACAATCATATAATTATCAAAAAGTTGTATATAAAAGTACTAAAAGGTATAAAAATTTAGAGTTTTTGACTGATGCTAAAGAGCTAATTTTATCCAAACTAGTGTTTTTATTTTTCAGTATGTAACTACTTTAAGATGTCGTTTTTTTATCATTTTGTTTTAAAAAAAGAATAATCTTGATAGAAAAAAAGATAAAAAACTTATGAGCCCATAAGAACATGTAATCATTTTGTTGTGAGTCAACAGCCTAGAGGCAGAATAATAATAACTGAACTTTTTTAATCTCAAACTGGAGAAATTAACAATTTGCATTTAACACATCCCCTTGGGGAGCAGTGGGCTGCCATTGTGTGGCACCTGGGGAGCAGTGTGGGGTTAAGGGTCTTGCTCAGGGACCCAGAGTGGCAGTCTGTGGGAGTGGGGCTTGAACTCAGAGCCATTGGGAGACAAGCACAATTCTCTAACCACTAGGCCGCCAAACCCCACAAAATCATTTTCTTTTAGGACCCAAAGGCAGATAAATATGCCAAAATCTTAGTTCCGGAGGCACTTTTCACTGCCTTACTTTAGGAAAATTACCATGTCTAACGAGAAAACTGTTGAATATTGCCAATTAACCCATAAAAGCAAACTATTCACCTCGCTGCTATGACGCGAGTTGCTCTTTATCACCACTTAACTGCTGAAGTCCTAAAGTTTTTATAGTTAAATCTTTGAAGTTCTGCTCACCTTCTTGAAAGTAGTAAAGGTTACACACAAGTCATTTTTTAAATGAGTGATAATAGCTTTCTCTAAAGCTGCCTCTACCTCACCTGGGTCTTTGCAACGCTGATCAAATTACTTCACAATACCTCAAACACCTTTCCTGTTAACTAGAAAGACAAGTTCAGCTGCGAGCAAAGATCCCTGGTTTCAAAAAAAATACCTAACAGCCAAGATGCAGAAACCAACGAGGCACCATGTTTATTGGTGTCCTAAACCTACAGCTTATGTCAAACTCTTCCAATCTCCTTATGCATGTTGGCGTTTAAAAAACAAAACAGAAAAAGAAAAAGTTGAGTTTTACTGCAACAGCAACCAGGTAGCTCTGCTGTAATGTCAGCTTCTTATCAAGATTTGCTGATCATCTGAGAATTAAATTTCAATACTCTAAAGCGGAGGTCTTCAACAGGGGGTCTGTAACCCCTAGGGGATCCACAGAGGTACTGCATGGGGGTCGTGAAAGTTTTGGTTGATTAGACTTTTTTATATTCCCCCCCCTGCAGTTTTTTCTAGTAATTGACATGTCTTTAAATCCACACTAACATGAATTCAACACACTGTAGTAAACAGATAAATGGAGGCAGAAGATGTCTTTCAGTCATCAATGCACACATTCAGCAACACACAGGAGCTCCTTCAAGCTGGGGACCGTTTCCTTCACAACACCTGTCCCATCAACCAGGAATCACAATCAGAAATACTTTAATAATCCCAGGAAGAAATTACTTTCATATTATAACTCCAGCTGTAATAGAGTGACTATAGGACCAGTTTGATAGAACACAATTTCATACAATATATATAAAATTAGGGGGTCCCTGCTCCATCTCGCTATCAGTTCGGGGGTCCTTGGCCTGGAAAACGTTGAAGACCCCTGCTCTAAAGTGTCTCAAAGTGGTCAGATAACACCTAGCCTTTTAATTGGAACGTAGGTAATGCCTTTAGTTTTACTTTCATGTTTTCAGCATGCTGAGGTAAGAGAAATGGCTCCATAGTGTAATATTAAATCAAGTAGCGCTATTGATGGCCTTTTGCTTTGGCGTTGGCTGCACCACTTCTGTAGCAGAAGAATCTGTGTGAGAGCTGTGGTGGAAATTTAATGCCAAATCATTATTTCCTTATGACATCACCTTTTTTCTTCTAGGTCCATAAAAGAAAAGGTAGAGTTGCAGTGCTGTGACTGCTTTAAAAACACTTTCTAAGTTAGCTGACAAGCTGTTCTACGATGACAGCAATTAGATCACTGGTATACCCGTTTGTTTTTGGAACTTAGCATAATATAGCATAATAATGTAATCAGAATTTCATACTGGCTCAAGCCCAATTTCATAAAATGTGAAGCTAATTACCATCCCGCAAATTAAAAATCATTTTAAAAAACAAAAGTCAATACTGCATCTGTTGTCAGCTGTTTTTCCTGTGTTAGTGAAAATGTCACAGAGGAAGCGAAAGACATCTGCTCTAGACTTCCTCTCAGAAAGGACCCTTATGTTGACTACTGTCACAGTCTGGCCAGTGACAGACTTTCTTAGCGAACCATCTGTCAAGTGAAACACCGTGTCAGCAGACGCTTCAGCCAGACTCCCCAACATCGTCTCACATGTCGAGTCGCTTCGTCTCAGAAGCAGGTACAAAGGGCTATATTTCTGGCTTTCAAACAATGGCGTTGTACCTTTTTCAAGCTGTACCCAGCATGGAAAATAATCGGCGGCAGCAATATGTTAAAGAAAACCTCCGGATCGAAGGTCACCTGGAAAAAAGAAGAGAAATTCACAGTTAACTGGATAAAAGGTAGCAGGGCGCAGATCTGATGATGGATTTTTGCCCTTACCTTACGCAGCATATCATTCTGCTCCACGTTGTGGATCTCTTTGAAGTTGATCTCACCTTTCAGGGTGTACTCAAAGAACTTGCCGCTTACATTAAGCAGCAGGGTGCTGGAAGGTCCTTCCTTCAGCGAGCAGCTCGGGGGTGTCTTGTTGTGGTAGCTGGCGGCTGGAATGCCATAACGTAGGATCACACCGACCAGCAAACCTGATGGATCAGAGCAATAATAGGCCCGTTCAAGAACATTCAACCCACATACAAACACTTATGTATTTCAGAAATGCATGAACATAGTCTGTAACACGTTTCACAAAAGCTGCAGGATTTGAAAGATGCTCATTTGGCATAAGGGGCTCAAACCATTTAAAGAAAATATCCCCTAAGTCAATAAACCTGTAGACCATATTACCACTGTATCATGTGAGTATCACTATTAATACTAATAATTAAACTAATAATAATAATTTAAACTTAACACCAGGCAACATTTTTCCAACTTCTTATCGTCAGGTGTAAGTGTGCCTTGAAGCAACCATTTCCTGTTTATAGATAACAGAAGCGGCACCCAGGGGTTCAAAAGTTTCTGCATGCAGAGATGGTATTCTGAAAACCTTGTTTGTAATTTATTAATATTAGAGCCACCACAGGGCTGTGTGCTAAGCCCATTTCTCTACTCCCTCTTTACCCACAACTGCAAGCCTGTGTACGCGTCTAATCATCATCATCCATCATCAAGTTTGCGGACGACACCACGGTGATTGGTCTCATCAGCAACAACGATGACACTGCCTATAGGGAGGAGATCGAGCACTTGGCCACATGGTGCACTGAAAATAACCAGCTCCTCAACACCACCAAAACGAGGGTGCTCATCATAGACTTCAGAAAAGATTCAACAGGCACCCACAACACTAGGGATGCACGATATTGGGATTTTGGCCGATATCCAATATGCACATATTTTAAAACTCATGTAGCCGATAACCGATATCGATACCGATGTTAAAGCTGGACAAAAATAAGTAGTCATTGAAAATAGCAGTTTTGTTATCCATTTTTAACACTTTGAAAAATAATATATTCAAATATATTTTCATATGCTGATATCAAATTGATTTTTAAAAACGCGGTATCGATCTATTTTACTTTCAAAATCTCGTGAAATTTCATCATTCTGTTACAAACTCTCGTGATATTTTGCAAATTCTTGTGAGATTTTGTTGGTAAAATACATCGATACCGCGTCAATATATCAACATATAAAAAAATGGCAAAATTTTGTGAATTTTCGGGGGATTTCGTAGCATAACGATGACATATAGCAATATTTCATTAGTAAAAGAGATTGATATGGTGTTTTTAAATGGCAATATATCAGCATATGAAGATATTGTGATATTTTAATGTATCAATATTTTTTCCCTCGTCTTTAGAAGTTTTTAAGTCTGTAAAAAAAAAGTTTTTGAGGAAGAAGAAGTAGTATTTTTTTTTTTTTTTAGACTTTAGAAACTCAGAAGCTGATCAAATATCGGGTTAAATATCGGTGGGGTGGCCGATGTCCGATATTCAGTTTTAAGGCCGATACAGGCCGATACCGATAGGGGGCCGATTATATCGTGCATCCCTACACAACACCATCCACATCAATGCAATGGCTGTTGAACATGTCTCCAGTTTCAAGTTTCTGGGGACCCACATCTCAGCAGACATGTCCTGGTCCACCAACACCTCCTGCCTGGTCAAAAAGGCTCACCAGCGCCTCTTCTTCCTGGGAACACTGAGGAAGAATCAGCTCCCCTCAACTATCCTGGTGAACTTCTATCGCTGTGCAATAGAAAGCATCCTAACCAACTGTGTAACAGTGTGGTACGGAAGCTGTTCTGTTGCAGAGAGCAAGGCACTGCAGCGGGTGGTGAAAGCCACCCAGCACATTACTGGAACTTCACTACCCACCATTGAGCAAATCCAGGAGAAACGCAGCCTACATCGAGCCCACAGCATTCTTCAGGACTCATCTCACCCAACCCACAGACTGTTTTCTCTCCTGCCCTCCGGCAGGCGTTTCAGGTGCCTCCAGACCAGAACCAGCAGACTGAAGAACAGCTTTTTCCCCAGAGCTGTCTCTTTACTGAACTCTAACCCTCATGGTAGACTCTACTAGCCTGGGTGCCATTCCGAACTTAGTCCCGCCCACAACGTTTGAGGTCGGGAAGTTCGGTCTGGCATTGCTCAGTAGTAGCGCGAGTATGCTCGCACAATATCTGGCGGGCCAATCAAATTGTCAGGGCGGGCTTTATACGATGATGGACAGATGATCAACAGTAACGTAATCAACCACGTGACCAAAGCGCGCATGGGCGACAACAACAATGGCTGCCGCTGGAGAGCTGAGGTGTGTAGATTCTGCTATTAGGTCTGTTCTAGAAGATATCGACAGCAAATTAATTTTAAAAGAGGAACAGAGAAACGCCATCAAGGCTCATCTTCTTATTCTAGGCGTGCAACTGCACGCTTTGGTTTTTGTTGACAACAACTGTGCATCGCTTAACATACGTCACGCACTCCGTTGCTCTCATTGGTTGTAGATCTATCCAATTGAGTGCAGAGGCATTTTTTTTCCTGGTTCGTTCGAAACACGCCCCATAATCACATCTCTATGGAGCAGCATCAGACTCATATTCTGACTAGAATTGAGTAGGACTAGTCAGGCTAAGACTCTACCCTCACACCTCACACCTACCATCATCTTTGTATTCTGTTTTTTTACAAGACTGTAATGTTCACCTGCACTCCTGACTGTTACTATTGTAACAACTGTTTACATGCATCTTGCACTACTCACCTTGATTGAATATTGATTTGCACTGCCGACTGTTTATATTTGCACTGCCGACTGTTTATTCACAGTACCAATTGTTTACATTTACATCTGCAATAACGTACTTTAACTGTAATATGCAATTACCTTTCACTGCACTTTAATTTAGATAGCTTCTGTCCAAACTTTATTTATTCATTTTATAGTAAAATCCATCTGTATATATTCTATATCATAACTAAAAAACATTTTTATAGTAATATCCACCTGTATATTATATTCGGTACATATCCAGCAGTAAATTTATAGCTCATAACACTAGTTATCTATATATTATATTTATCTATTAGTAAGATTCTGTTTATAATGGTATTCATCTCTATATTCATTCAGTAGAAAACCATGTCCTATATTTATGGAACCATTATTTATCCTGCACTTGCTGCTATTGCACTTCTGGTTAGACCTAAACTGCATTTTGTTGCCTTGTACCTGCACCTGTGTAATGACAATAACTTTGAATCAAATCTAATCTAATTAGTGCCTTTTGATCATCTCAGACCAGATTTCCTATTTTCTATTGACTCTACCTTTCCGATACCTCCTCCAAATTAGTAAGGTGAGCTATGAGCTCACCTCATAGCTATTTTGTAGCTATGAGGGCTATGAGCTATTTTGTATGTTTATGCTGCTATAAGTTTAGGCTGCTGGAGGATATAGGGATCACTTTTTATCATTCTGATTAACTCTTTCTCTATTCTTCCATTCTGCAGTATTTGTTAGTTTCGCCCTTATTGTCATGTTCGTTCTGCTCCGTCCTGGAGAGAAATATCAGCTGGGCTGCTGCCATCAACAACTTTGATTATAGATGTTAGAGGGGCCATTTTCTTCAGTGCAGACATGTTTCCTGTACTGTCACTAACTGTGTGCTCCCTTTTTTTCTTCAACATGGGAACTGGCTCGGAGCTCGTCTGTCTGACTGGGTCTTTAATGGACTGGCCCACCTGTGGCGCAAGTTAAGAGTTACCTTTAGCATTTCTGCTTTTGTTTATATGCCTGCTTCTGTCCCCTTGAAGCCCAGTCAGTCTCAACGGAAGGCCGCTCACACCTAGTCTGGTTGTACTGGAAGTTTCTTCGTGTTAAAGGGAATTTTTCCTCTAAACTTACGCTGCATGCATGCTCACTGTGAGGGATTGCCAAAGAGACAACTAAATGCAAGCAAAAATCGTCAGCAGGAGGACCATGTCCTGCGAGTCTAAAACTTGGTGCACTAGCTGTTTTACCTTGATAGAAATCTTTAACCAATTTGACTGTATGATCTGATAGAACTCCCTGTAAAGTGCCCTGAGATGACATGTGAATTGGCTCTATATTAACAAACTGCATTGAATCGAATTAAAATAGCAAGTGAGTGCAATTCTCTGAGCATTTCTAGTTAATGAGGAGACTGGATCAGATTGCAGCACACAAAGAGCAGCAGAGAGGAGAAGAAAAATAAGGATGTGATTGGTAGAATCTGGTGGAGAGAGTCTGGAGGACGGTGATGAGAGAATCACTTAAAGGGGAGGATAAATCCTTTGATCTGAAGGGGGGCTTTCTACTGAAGACCCGGCAACGTAAAATTGTCAACACTGGGCTTGCCAATTGACTCTGCCAGTAGGTTAAACATGAACATTACACTCTGGCTTTGGCCCAACCACACAAGCACACATACACAAGGGGTGGTTTTGTGCAGACTCCGACTAAACCACCGTTTCGGTTCCTGGAATAAAACCACAATACCTAGATTACCGCAACACAGAATTTTAGGTTCTTTCCATAGATTAGGACAAGAAAGTACCATGAATGAACAAGCTTCTCTGTTTAGGCTTTCCTTTGTACAGCTAATTGGCACTTTTAACATGAAGCAAAATAATCCTTCTGATCTTAGAGTGCTTTGTACAGTTATCACCAACAGAAGCGAATGGCATAACAGCTCAGCTTTTCCTAAACACCGCCCCAGTTTTTAGATGTAATATTGCAGAGCTGTGCTATCAGTTTTCTGTTTTGGACTGTCTGTCTGAAACTTCCCACTGGAGCAAACAGTTCAGGGTTGAAAAGCACCAAGGATAACATAAAAAAAAAAGGAAAACTCAAAACAAATCAAAGTCTGCTCTTTTCCCTGCAGCTAAAACTCTGGTTAATAAGTGACATTTGTGGCCCCGGCATAATTGTCTAGCTTCTGTTTGACAAGTTTCACAGAAAACACGTAATTAAGAAGCACTACAGCAGTGTTCTTTGTGTTTTCTTCATGCAGCTTGACCTGACAAACACAGGCGCGGATTTGTGACCGACTATGCATGACTACTAAGCTTAGTATTTTCCATCTCGAAATGGGTTAAATAGTTTT